CACTTTTAAATCCTCTTCAGGAGCACGCATGCCTTGTAAAAAGTATCTGGTTTGTTTACATGGTTTTGTATGGTATAGTTTTAACTTTCTAGGATTTCTACAACAAACCTGCCAGTGACAAATGCAAAATACGCTGCTTGAAAGAGTTCAGAGTTTTAATAGTTTTGTAAACGGTTTATGAGAGTGAAAATGGGTTGAGCAAGCCTATATATTTTTGGAGGAAGGGCTTTTCACTGTGTGAATTCATGTAGGAAGCTTGACTTGCTTTGTTACTAAGTCAATGAGTATGAAAACTGAAATGTACTTTTTGCCACTGCCTGCAGGGAGAGAAGTGTTTGGTGAATTATGCACAAACACCAGAGATCTCTGAACTCTGTATGTTAGGTTTACTTATGTTAGACTTTCTCCTGAGTACTGTTGTTTCTTTGACAAGCTGTTAGAGCATCTCCTGTTGCCGGCACTAAGGTGGCCTTCAAGGCACTCAATCCCCTTTGCTAGTGCAGCAAACTATGTGTACTTCACCGTAATGTCTCCTGTAGTTTCTCCTGGATAAAGGCCTTTGTTTTTTAACCAGTGTGTTTAATCCCTGTATATATGTATGTATAAATGGAGTCTGTTGGTCTTCTCAATTTCAGAAGTAAGGTACTTAGCATAAGACTTATGATTGTACGTCGTGGGGCCGCCTTACAACTTCAGGGTGTAGGATAGAGTGTATGTGTGAAGAGTTTTGACAACTGTTTTTAATATGGAAGCTTTCACATTTTGTTGTCTGTCTGCCCGTTTCACCTTCTTTAATTAATTTGTCTTGAAAAAGAAACAAGCCACAGAGTGTCTGAAACATCCTTTTTGCCTTGTTTGTATAGAGTACTGAAAAATAAGTCTGTATTACATATAATGACCATTTGTACTATTACTTGTTATACTGTAGACGTCATACTATTACCTAGGCCGTTTGTATTTAAGGTCTGTCATTATAAACCACTGTTTTAAGGACTGGAAACCGAGTAGAAGTTTTTATAGGTGGAGACTTGACAGACTTGCAAAATTTAGGATATGTTGAAATTCAGTACACACACTATAACGCAGGAATATAGACTTGCAGCATTGGGTAACAATGAGCTTTCATTTCATTCCATTCCCATTGTAAGTCTAAAGTGTCTCTTTCTTTGTTGTGACTTTGCAGTGCTTGTTCTCCAGTGAGAACGACTTGAGGTGGAGACTGTCCCCATTAGCATTTTTCTGGGGAGTGTTCTGCATGTGCACTGCTTGAAAATCTGTTGTTTTATCCTACTGGGGTTAGTGTGGAGATGGAAACCAGATGACTTGCGCATTGCAGGAATCTTTAGGTATTCACCTCACTCCTCAGTGGGAGGAACTTGTGCCTTTTGGATGCAGAGGCACACCTAGACAATTAGCACCCGCATTAGTTTTTATTGCAAACACTGGCCTCATCTCCACTCAAAGCGTTTCATTAAAATACCAAATGTTTCTGTAATTGTTAAAGCCTTAGCGAAGTAAGTGCGACACCAAAGCCCCTGTTCGTTTCCGTGTTGCGTCCATTCAGTGAATGGGTGTTCTCCCAGGAAGTGGGGCATTGCTTGATGCAAAGCTGTAATGCCAGGGATGTGTTTGCAACTGGAAATAAGGAATCTCAGAGCTGTAAGACTGAGCACACTAAGATTTTTGTGCATGGGGGATGTGTGGTTAATTTAAAAAGAAAATGCAGTATTCCACTTCAGACAATTGTGCAGCAACGCTTACCATTTTTAGTCAAAATGCCTGCGTTACCATACTGCCATTTGATTTCCTGATGAATTTTTTTATGCTTCAGTAAAATGTGTCATCTTTTTTTTCCCTCCTCCATTGCTGGGCTACACAACGTATCCAACACGTAGCTTTCCCTTTGCGTTGCTTCTGCAATTGTATGTTATACCAAAGGGAACTGAGCAGCTGCCCACGTTGCACTGCCTGTAGTTACACAGGGGTACCTGCACAATACTGAGCATACACGCACTTTGAACCTCTGAATTCATCTTCAAGTTGGTAGCTACCAGTTAATAACTCGAGTGAATGATTTGCCCTGCAGAACCCTCTTGTGGGAATTCAGTCATACAGCAAACTAACAAACATGCTGCTTGGATTCTGGTGGCGCTACCTAGACCCCTGCTGCTTCTCTAAATGTAATCATAGACCTCTGGTTGAAGCTGCAGTATCTGCACGCTAATGGTGCATAAACCAGAGAGCAACGAGCTTGGTTTCATCAAAACCACCTTACCATCTTCCTGGAGGAAGCAACAGTTGTGCCAATTTTCTTTCTAATGCTCAAACAGTACTGAGAGAAGAAAATACTTCTCTGTGAAATGTAATCAAAATTAGAGAAGAAAAAATGCAGCAATGCTTAAATTTAAGGTGAAAGGTGCTGTAATAGAATTACGAGAAACTTTCAAACAGTTCCATGTCAAAGAAGTGTCAATCTCAAGGCCAGGTGAGTCCCAGTGCTGAACTAGACTCATTCTCAGGTTTCTAGTAGTAGGTAATACTGATAAATAATTTGTGGATGAGTGTTCTTCCTCCTTTTCCTAAGATAAATGTGGTTCAGCCTGAATCTGTACCAGGAGAAATCCTGCTCTCACTGCAAAGGTGAAGATGCATTGTTAGTAGTAAATGACTTACTCTTATTTGCAAGTTCACATGAATCTGAATGGTCAAAACATAATGTTCAGAACTAGTTTTATCACCGTCATGATCTCAAGTAAATGTAATATATTTTTATGGAAAAAAAATTTAACATAACTTACAGTAAATCCTTAAGTGGAAAACAAATGTTTAAAACTGAATATTCTGTGCCTGCTGGTCCTGTAAAATCCTTAGAGGTAATTCTGATGTTCTCTTGTTACAAAAGTTATATTAGTTGTATCATGCAACTTAAACATGTTTATTTCATTATGGTTTGGTCTGATACAAGTCTTTCTTTCTTTCGTGGTTATATTCAATTGTCAGCCTGTTTCAAAAGATTGCTCTAACCCTGTAGCTGTGCAGCCTGAATCTGCTCAGAAAACTTGTTTGCCTGATTCCGGCCCATATGTTGGGAGCAGTTGGGATCTGAGGCAGCGCATTAGGTACCCCCACCTAGCAGAAAGGCCATTTCTGAGCTGTTGCCTCCGGCTTCTTCACCACACGGTTCCAATATGAAATACGGATTTCTGTTCTGTGCTTTCCGGTCACTTTGGTTTTCACCCTTGGTCTGGCTAATGCAGTGACAAGGTTTAAGTGAATGGTTGTAGACATTGGAAGTGGCATTAAAATATTACTAATATATCAAAGGTGCCTGATGCGTTTTCTGAAAAGAAACAGGTAAATGCTCACTGGTGGTTGGGGTTTTGTGTTCTTTTGTAGTAAAACAGAACTCGGCATGAGCCTGCCTCTTCGCCCAGGTGTCTGAGGAATCTGGGAAGCAGTATGCTCCTAGTTCCTTCTGCATGTGGTTTTTCACACAGGAAAACAAGTTGTTTGCTTAACACCCCAATAAGGATTAATTGGCAATGTTTTAGGCAAGAAAGAATCTTGAAAGGTGAGAAAACTCACATTTTTATGGTCATGAAGTTTTAGGTCAGGGAAGCGCTTAACTACAACTAAGTGAAGACCTTGAGAAAAGTGAAGCTTTGATGGTATCTGGGTGGGTTTTATGTACTGTGCAGCTGTTCTGTGTTCAGCCTGGGGAAGCTGGACAGCCCCCGAAGTAACTACAGCCTTAAAAGGAAAACAGAGTGTCTTTTGCTGTGTCTTACATGCATTAACTGTGTGAAAGAAACTTTTTGGACAGTGTCAGTGGTTTTAAAATTGGATTGTTCACATCTGTGGGATCTTTACTGGATGTGGCATGTCAGCATGCAGGACTAAAGCACAGGAGAGGGTAGTGATGGCTGTACTGCAGACCTCCTGGGGGTCATGTAATGTGGGGTTTAGGGAAGTGGAAGGCAAACAAAAAGAATAGTAAAAATAAACAAGTAACTTGGGTCACGTAAGTCTAACCTGCAGTCTTAACTCACCTCTAGATATAAAGGTTGTGATCATTTTGTCCTTGAGAACAGAAACACTTGCACAAGAGCTATAAAAAAGAATAGCTATTGGTACAATGAGGAGGATCTGAAAAGGAAAACTAAAAACCCTTAACGCTTTTGGCCTGAATTATCTTATAACGGCCTTAAATCCCCCAAATATTGAAGGAATATTCTAAGCACTAAGCTATGTTCAACTTGACTACTTCACAACACAGTTCCTGAGAACAACCCCGCTGTGCATCATTTTCAAGGTGTTTAATGCTGTTAGCTGGAAGATTTACTTTGCTTGTTAAAATTCACAAGGAGCTAAACCACATGAATATAAGCAGTGATTTTTGAAGTGGAATGATAAAATTAATCTCACCAAATTCAAGGAAACTTCTCCCAGTCTCAAAGCTGGAACTTCCACTCTTTGAAAGCGCCACCTTGAAGTGCCGTTTCTGCGAATAGAACGCAGTGTTGGTGCCCTCACAGCTCCTGAGATTCCCAAGAAGTTCCTGGAACCACAGCGTGTTTCCACGCGTACAGGGGGTTTACAGCCCTGGCACCTCCCATCCTACACAAGGAACGAATATGGTGTCAGAGAATTCAGCTGTTCTGCTCTGCAGCTTCACAGGTGATGATGCAAACTGAATGTGTGGAAGAGTAGCTGATAAAATACAATTCCCTTTATATTGAAATTACAGGGCAACCTTGAACTACAGGTGGTGGGAGGCCACGAGCCTCCCTGGGCAGGTGCAGAAGAGTGGAGCACGGGACCTGGAGCTCATTTCTAGCCTTGGTTGTGAATACGTTGCTTTTCACTTCCTCAGTTACAAACGGGAGGTATGAGTCTGTGTCTTGGAAGTACTCTGATCTACTTATAAACAGTGCAAAATTACTCAACTACATGTGGTCATGAGCAGGACAGTGTGTGGTTTATGAAAATACCATCAACAGTTTATTAATAGTTTTTGATTTATTGCCATGATTTGTCTTCTGTCCCCAAAAGTCTAGTTCGCACGCTATGTATACAGCAGAGAAAAGCTGAAATCTCATGATAGGACAAACAAACTTTAGTTTAAAACAAAACCAACCCAGGAGAATGGAGGAAAGATTTTGGCAGTTCCTGACAGTTCAGCAGAAGCACTATTACAACTTGCAGAAGAGCGGGATTGACTCTAGAGGAGCATTCTTTATTGCCAAAAGAAAATGCTGATGCTACCAAAACCCATTAAATGCTCACACCTCGCAATCAAAGATACTCTGGTGCTGTGCATGCGTACCTATGCGCGCGCTCGCACAGGGAGATCTGGTTTTCCTTAGCTTCTGTGTGCTTTTTATGGAGCTTTGCTCATCCTGCGGTTTGCCAGAAGTAGCCCAGAGGACAGTTTAATCCTGTTTGCTGTTGCAAGACTGTCGAACAGATGATTTCTGATGCTCCAACAACGTGATAGACTTTTCCGAATTTTCCAAGTTTCTGAGCAGAGTCTCTAGCCGCCTTTTGATCTTCTTCTGATCCTCAATGGCACACCCGATCACCACAGACTGAAACTTCTGATCGATGGGTCCTGCTGGCACGTCGGATGTGCACGCACCATAAAGCGACATTAAGCGGATTTTGGCGTCTTCCAAATCATCTAGAAGTTTATTGACGATTTCATCGATCATCTTGGTGGCATGCAGGAGGGATTCCTGCTGCTGGGCGTTCCGGATGGTTTCCACAGAAACCTCCACCGTGAGGGTTCGGCCCATCAGGCGATTAGCTGTCAAATTAAGCTCTTCTCTCTCACCTACATTGAAAAAGAGGAAATATTCTAGGTTACAGGGGAATACTTTCCTGTGCAAATAACATCATAGAATCATAGAATGGTTTGGGTTGGAAAGGACCTTAAGATCATCTAGTTCCAACCCCGCTGCCAAGGGCAGGGACACATCACACTAGACCATGTCACCCAACGCTCTGTCCAACCTGGCATTGAACACTGCCAGGGATGGAGCATTCAGTTTCCCCAGGCAACCTGCTGCAGTGCGTCACCACCCTCACAGTGAAGAACTCTTCCTTACATTTAACCTAAATTTCTTCTGTCTTAAGTCTTCTCCCCTCAAGACAAACTGCTACAACTTAGCAATAAGCAAGGCTGTTTTTTTAAGTGGCAATCAACAAGATTTCCAGGGGGCAGAAATGAGTTTTTTGCCTCTGCCTGAGTCCTACCTATTTCGCAGAAGCATCTTCTGATTTGAAGTGAGGCATTAAGCTCTCCTAAGAATGTAAGCAATGCTCTTCCGCTGCCAACACACCACTTGCTGTGTCACAGTAAAGCAAAGCATACAATATTCCCAGAAAACATTATTCATTAACCAAACTGGCATGTTAAGGCCCTTCTGTGCCACTGTGAGGGTGAGATTCAGGCAGCATCCCAGGCAGCCATAAAGAGAAAACTGATTCCTGCTACCAGATGCAATTAGGGGCCATGAAGAAACTGGGTTTCTATTACCTGAAAACAGGTTTTCCCCAAACCGTGGACACAACATATTTGACATGTAGGGTCCTGAAAAGCCAATGAACCAGCAATTTGAAGCACCTGATATAAAACATACATTTAGGGAACGTATTTAAAGCTGTATATCACACAACCATGACAACGATCTTAATCATCAGGTTCCTGCAGGCTGTACCCTGTGTAGCACTCACGCCTATGCAGAACTCAAAGTCACTAAAATGCTGGGTTTTAAACTGTATTTAAGCATCATTGTTATCATCAACTTCCCTCCCTCAGCTGAGCTGTATTACTCTGATTTTGAAAATAAGCCAGTGAATTGAGTATGGGCTGTCATGTTGTCCTGGTTTCAGCTTAAACCACAACACACATATACACCATGGTGATGTTCATGGCATATCATCTGGCTGAACAACAGCGTCTGAAGTTACACAGTCAAGAAAACGGGGATCCCAGGATACAGGAATCCTGAGCTGGCTCCAGGGCCTGCACCTTCACCAGCAGCACACATGCAAGCAGAGCTGCTCCCTAAGGCATGGGCTGTCTGACTTCGAATCAGTTGGGAGGGCATGGCAAAGCAGCTGCTTACCTTCGCTGATGTGCCTCATGTCCTGGCTGTTCTGTATGTTGTGGATCATTTCTAGCAGCGTTTCTTTCTCTTGCTCCATGGCAGATGCTGCGTCACGGAAAGCCTCTACCCTGAACATGGTTGAACCAAACAAAATGTTTAAATAATAAAATAGCTGTTCACCTCTACAGCTGCCAAGAACTGTTTTCTTAAGCTTCAGCTTAAGACATACAGTCAGTTCTTAATTACCCATGAGCCAGCCTCTCTGATTTCATGACCTTTGTCTCTATCTTATCTTCACTTTTCAACATTAAATATAATTTATAAAACCCAAACCAACAGTAATTCAATCAGACTTACATCTTCTGTGTTTCTGACAGTGCTGTTCTGCCCTACTCCATGGTTAGCCTTGATATCCAGAGCCTGATGGTACTATAACCCCACAGCAGAAGTCCTGTAGCTAACTGGCAACTATTACCAGCTGCTCAACTGGAAGAGAAACAGACCGAGTCCTCACCAGGGAACTTGGGGGTGCAGGGGGCAGCAAGGGGGAATGGAGGCAGCAAGGGGGCCTGGCTCCCCTGCCACCCCGAGGCCTGCAGCACAGAACCCTTGTGACCCACCTACAAAGCAACAAACTCAAGATGCCACCTTGGAGCCAAATGACCCCTTTCACAAGGGAGAAAAATGGGCGAGAGGGACAAACTCACACACTTGTCTTAACCTGAGCAAGTGGCATGCCCTGGCTGCTGGGAGAAGATGCTGCACCACCTGCCCCCATGGTCTCTGGTGTTTTCAATGGCTCGATGCTCACTGTGATTCACACAGGGAGGAAGGTTCTGTGAGAGCAGCTCCTGCTTCTGGGCTTGCAGAGAAGCACAAAACTCGGTTCCTCCTGAAACAGGACCCCTGCTCCAGTCCTGTTCACTGCGCTGAAACTCACGCATGATGCGGTGAGGGAAAGGAGTTGCTCTCCCTGGTAACTTCAGTCTTGGGAAGCTGTGTGGTTGCATGCCCCCAGTCTGCCCTCCTCCTCATGGTGTAAGGTACAGACCCTTCTGGCCATGGGCCATGTGAAAATGCCATACTAGAAATGTGAGTGCAGGTCCTTAGGTCATGTCTTACTCCCCACCATGGTATTAAGGAAAGGATTTTGCATTAAGCTGAGTAATATGGAAAAGCACACTTCGGAACTACATACTGTGGAGACCAAGGACAAGAGAGAAACATCCCCCTCCCTTGGCTTTGCCCCAGAGGCCTGAGGGTAGGGGCTCACAGAGGACTCGCCAAGCTTCAACTTACTGCAAGAGTTGTGCCTAAAACATCAACTCTGCACTCCCAGACCCCACAGAAAAGCAGAATACCACGTGAACCTGGCTGAGGGTTTCAGATGCCTCCAGCGCACAGCCCGAGAGGTCCAGCTACTGTAAGCAACACGGGACTCCATCTATCCTGAAATGTTTATTAAACCTGGCCAGGAAAGGGGAAACAAACCAAAACATTGGTAAGTCTCTTAGGTGCTCTGTGCTCTCCAACATGACCCTGCCCTGAAATGGTGGTGCCTTATTGCTGCTCTTGCAACAGGTATGGAGCTGCTGCTCCTTCCTTCCTTCCTTCCTTCCTCACAGGCTGGCTGAGGGCAGGTAACTTCAGAGAACAGCAGCAAGGGAAAAGAGGGCGAAAAGAACACTGAAGAATGGGAGCATCTGAAGATATAAATAGTCATACTTCACATGCAGCCTGCTCACGAAATGGTTCTGTTTTACAAAATATTTAGCCTAATTTAGTCAGTGAAAGCACAAGCTTCAGGCCTTGCCTTTAATGTTCATTCTGAGGAGGAGTGGGAAAAAGTTAATGCAATGCAAATTCTTGCCGAGAGCAAATGCTTTTAATTATTATTTTGGAGTGGTTCCTAAGAGCAATGAGGCAGGTGGAGTCATTCCATGCCTCAGATGTCTGCACTTTGTAATTTAGGAAGTCTAGCAGTATTTTCATAAATGCCTCACCACGTCTTTTTAAAAAACTAGTGTTTTCACTGTTTTATAAATGCATCGTGGCCACTGGAGAGCTTAAAATTAAAAACTGCAATGGTGTTCTTAAATCAGATTCAGTATATTATTGCACTGCCTTAAAAACTAAAGGTCTGCCTTCAGAGGATGGATCAATCCTGGATTTCCACAGGCTTTGCTAGGTCCTATGAAGAATGTGGAAGAACTGCATTGCAGAGATGCATCCTGAATTGGTGCAATTCTAGAGAGCGCGTAGAACATCATCACTGCTTCCAAAAGCCAGCTACTGGTATGCAAGGTAGGACCTAAAAGCCAATTGATCAGAATTCATGAGTGTATGCTGAACCCCCTCTCCCCCTCCCCATTTTACCAACTAGAACTTTGACTGACATTATTTCACAGAGAGTCATGTAACCAAATCTTGAGAACTATTTTATTTGCAGTAATTGCTACTTGGGAATTATCTTAACCACTTCTTCAACTGCAACACAGAATGCCACACAACTAAAATCCACTGGGATTTTGATTTTAGTGTATTTGCTTCCACAAATGGCAGCCAAAATGAGCACCTACCCCAGCACTGTGTCATGGCACAGGAAGAAGGCAACACAGATCCTGCCACAGGGGCAAAGGGTCAGGGAAGCAGCATGTCAGGGCTCCCCTTTGCTCTCCCTTCTAAAAATTTCCATCTTGACCAATTACTACCGGTATGATGGGACTAAATAACCCTAAAAATTAAATTAAATTCTTTGGGTTTCAGAGAGCTCTTGAAGGCAGAGTGGGGGCACAAAATGGTAACATAGTGTATTGGCAGCAAATACAGCACCTCAACAGTCAGCTAGCAGGAGCTGCAGCTTGAACAGGAGATGGGAGGAGGTGGCTTGAGAAAGGCAAGTCAAGGTAGCAGAGGGAACAGGCAGCTGGCACTGCTAGAGACCTTGGTCACAAAACACCCAGACAGGATCACTTCAGAACAGCGCTCTAGGGGCAAGAAAAAAGGAAACCACTTACACCAGCCTCAGGAAAATGGTCAGTGCTCCAGAGAAGATGCTGTGGGCTCTGTCAAGGTGAGATGCCCACCACATCCCTGCCCTATTTCGCTGCCCCGGCCTGTAGCGAGGCCTTGGGGCAAGGGTCTTCTCCTGGCCCCTGGCCCGCATGGACTGCACACCTTTCCCTCCTCTCCCTCTGCAAGAGTGCCAGGTCCATGCCTTGTAGTCAGCTGTCCTGACTTCTTCCCTAAAATGTGCTTAAACTTCATAGGTTTTTGTGAATCTTGACTTTCTTGGGGTGGGGGACAAAGAAAGAAGGCTGGAAGAGGTAAACCTCCAGCAAAGATGATTGCTGTGGAACAGGGTGGAAACACAATCCAAGTCTCAAAAAACAACTAACCAAAGAAAAGAAGGCAAAGAAAAGCGAACACAAAATACTCATATTCCAGCCCAATTATCACTTATCTTGATGCAGCAACATGGTCTAACAGATGAAAACATCCAGCCATATTTTTACTTGGAGTGTGTCTGTCGCTTTGAACACCAACTAAATATTCCACCCATTACCGAAGACTGGAAAAACATTCCTGGCTTATGGTTTCGCGCGGTCCGAGCGCGATGAGCCGTGTGGTGCCTTTCTTTCCCACATGCCATTCCCATGAGCAGAGCATTCCCCTGAGGAACAGGTGGACCGGCCACGCTTTGTTTCCAGATGAGAAACTGGACACCCGCTTTCTTGTGACAGCTGCAATAACTCCGTCCTTCACATGAGTCCTGACTTAAACAGCTCTCTGTTAAAGCTGGAGGTGTGGACAAGTGTTCAAAGGCAGTAAGAAACATCTGAGGATGGTGTGGCCTTCTGCCTGAGATGGAGCTGTGCACAGTGGACAGAGACAACGCAGGGGGGTTCACCCTGACATCCTCAGCTGCTTAGACTGAGCTTCCGCTCTCAGGTGAGCAGAGGCATACAAATGAATGTCTCTGAGGGAGAACAGGAGAAAAAGTACAAAAAATGACGGTTTTAGGAAAGAAAAAACCCAAGAGTCTGACTTATCTCATGTACCATTATGCCCCGGACTGCGTGTTCACTGAACCACCAGAACATGGTGACTCATGAACACAGACTCTGGTCTTGCTTCCAGCTGCTCCCGAGATGTCTTGGCACTCACGGGCAGTCAAGGCAACATGAAGATCCAAGCCCTTACAAGGGACAAACGTGCCACCTGCCCCCCTGGCCACGGGCTCGCTCCCTGGCAGCCAAATTTATCCCCCTTTCCCACTCACTTTCCTTAGACAAAAGGTCCCTCTGCAAACACTGGGCAGGGAGGTACAAAAAAACCCTGATACTGTCAGAAAAGCAGCTCTCGGGGTGGAAGGGAAGGGAGAAAAGGGAAAGCTGTTCAAACCAGTGCATTTCTGATGAGATGAGGGATGCCTCAGGGTTCAGCCGACCTTAAACTTGAGAACTGAGGATTGTCAGGGGGTTTAATTAAAGGCTGTACTTCACTTTGACAAATTTTCACTTATAGTCACAAGCAGCATCTCGAGGGTCTATAGCTAAATTAAACCGGCTGGAGAAGGAAGAAGTGTGGAAGCTCTTCCTCCTGCCATTCAAATAACTTTGCAATGAGGTGTGCTGGTTAGTTGGGCATGTTAAAAATACAGGAATTCAGCGACTTTAATCAAAGTAGTTTGACTCTTTCTTTGTAAACTGCTCCTTGTTTAAACTATGCCTGTCTGAAAGTCCCACAGCAAACTGGGAGTTGTAATTTGGGGTATAATTTCTAGTTAACCAAACCGTCTGTTTTGTTTCGGAGACGCTCAGCGAATGCGAAACACGTCTTTGTATATCCTGCTGCTTCTTTTCCAGTTACATATTCATGTGCCAGACCTGGATGTGAGCAGCAAGACTTGTTTGCAGACAGTGATTTGGTTTAGTCAAATTCAAAGAAGTCTGAGAAGGACTTCAAGGAGATTCAGTCGAGCTAAGGGCAAGGCTAATATAATAGCGCATAAAGTCCACTCCCAATTAATGCAAAGCAATGAGAGCAGAAAGGGGAAAACGCAACTCCCGTGTCCCACGGAGCTCTCGTAATTGCAGGAAAGTCCTAGAAACATCGTGGGTGGTTCTGCGAGAGCCGCTGATCAATATGCAGCTGTAATGAAGGAAAGGGCGTGTTGCAACAGTA